GGTCCAGTCAAACGAAGCAAGACACGGGGTGGGCAGCAGGGTTCTGGCTATTCTGGATGCTGGTACTTTCATTTGACAAAGCGTTTCCACTCCAGCTGAGGATTTAGGTGTTGCTGGACGCAGCCTGCATGAGCAGTTTCTGATGGACAATGATACTTGAGGCCACAAGATAGAAATAGGGGTGACAGACAGAGTACAGTAGGCTACTGCCTGTAGGAAGTGATAGAATCATCGAGTCATTGAATAGTTTTGGTTGGGAGGGACCTTTGAAGGTCATCTAGTTCAACCCCCCTCCAATGATCAGGGACATCTTCAACCACATCAGGTTTCTCCGAGTCCCGCCCAACCTGGCCTTGAATATTTCCAGGGATGGGGCATACAACCACCTCTCTGGGCAACCTGGCCCAGTGTCTCACCACCCTCATCATAAAGAATTTCTACCTTAGATCTAGTCTGGAAATCCCCTCTTTTAGTTTAAAACTATTACCCCTGTTCTATCAAAGGTCAAGGCTCGGTGATTTTGGAGATGGGAAAGCAAAGCCTGGCTTAAATAGCCATCAGCGTAACCTGAACAGACCCAGTTAGACTTCTGGCTTGTGTCAGCACTGGCGTGGCCAGCAGGGACAGGGAAGGGATCTGAGCCCTGGGCTCGGCACTGGGGAGGCCGCCCCTCGCTGAGGGGGTTCAGTTCTGGGCCCCTCACCCCAAAAAGGCCATTGAGTGACTCGAGCGTGGCCAGAGAAGGGCAACGGAGCTGGGGCAGGGTCTGGAGCACAGGTCTGCTGGGGAGCGGCTGGGGGAACTGGGGGGGTTCAGTCTGGAGAAGAGGAGGCTGAGGGGAGACCTCCTGGCCCTCGGCAACTCCCTGCCAGGAGGGGGCAGAGAGGGGGGATGAGTCTCTGGAGCCAAGGCCCCAGCGCCAGGCCCCGAGGGAATGGCCTCAAGCTGCCCAGGGCAGGGTCAGGCTGGCTCTGAGGAAGGATTTCTGTGCAGAAGGGGCTGTTGGGCGTTGGAATGGGCTGCCCAGGGCAGGGGGGAGTCCCCGGGATCCCTGGAGGGGTTGAAGAGTCGGGCTGAGCCAGCGCTGAGGGATCTGGGGGAGTTGGGAACGGTCAGGGGGAGGGTCATGCTTGGGCTGGAGGAGCTGCAAGGGCTTTTCCAACCTAGACGATTCTGGGATTCATTGAAGCACTGGATGATGCACAGGGGATCATTCCACCTAACGGCCATACACTAAAACAAAAGTTCATCCTTTATATACCTTAAACACATGAATATTCATACATTTGCCAAGAATCCTCTGCCTTTCCGCCTATTACATTTACATAATGCTGGCATTGCAAAATTACACTACGCATGCGCAGGGATCTCGGGTGGTTGGTTGGGGAGTTAGCCCCTTACTTTTTCCCTTTTATGGTCATGAGTCTTTTGAGGACAATATCTTCTTGCATGTTTCCCAACTGTTGTGCGGCCGAAATGTTCTTTCTTATCCACCTTGTTTACCATTTCTGCCAGGATGTATCTATTCTCAAGGTTAGGATATTTTCTCTACATTTTAATCACTCAGGCCTTGTTAAATACAAGGTTAAACATTGTTTGACAAAATGATTTCTTAATACTTTAGGTATAAAGGATCACTAATTGTTACAGGCCTCAACTTGCAGGCATCAGCTAGCAGACATCGGGTGATCTGGAAGTAGGTGTGTGCTGAGGGGAAATTTGAGGGGTTTTTCAAATGAGTGGGGTGGCTGCCTGCTTTTCCTGTGACAGGGAACCGTTTGCTTTGCTCTTCTTGCGGGAGGCCACTTGTAGAGAGGCGATACCTGATCATAGTGAGCTTTGGGGCTCGGTGGTGGGCATACATTAAAATCTGGCAGCAGACATTTTGAGAGTGTCGTGGTGTTACAGGGGGCTGAGATTTGACTTTCCTAGTTGGGAAGTCACCGAATCGTCTAGGTTGGAAAAGACCTTGAAGATCATCCAGTCCAACCATTGACCTAACACTGACCGTTCCCAGCTCCCCCAGATCCCTCAGCGCTGGGTCAACCCGACTCTTAAACCCCTCCAGGGATGGGGACTCCACCATCTCCCTGGGCAGCACATTCCAATGCCCAACGGCCCCTTCTGCAAAGAAATGCTTCTTAATATCTACTCTAAACCTTCCCTGGCACAAGTCCATTGAGCTTACTCAAAACTCTCTCCCAGGAGAGGTGGTCTGTCAGTGATGGTCTATCAGGGACTGTATTCCCAGTCAGCAAAAGGACAGGCCTCGAGTTTGGGGAGATACTCTGCTGCCTGGGCAGGTGGAGAAGTTGAGATGAACCTCTGCAAGGACTCTTTTGGGCATGGGTGTCAGTGGGCTCCCTGCAGTCGTTCACTGCTTCCCTCTGGGTGCCATGAAGGAAGAAGGAGCCCCGCTTTTCCCCAAACACAGCCATAATGCACTCCCTGAGGCATTCAGTGCAAGTATGGAGTGACATGTTGCAGCTGGGTGTCAGCAAGAGCAAGAAAGGAATCTCCCCCTAAAATCACAATCATCCAGCTGCGTTTTATTTACTTACTCTTCCTCTAAAGCACCAAGGTACAGTTGAAGCTGGAGCAGCAGAAGATGCAGGTCATTGATCTGGGAAGGTACTGACAGTCCTTCCCCCACAGCTCCAGAGGTACAGAGGAGTGAGATGAGTCTCCAGGGTCATTGACTGCAGCTTCACGATCCATGCTTCACAGACAGAACATCGTTTAATCTTTCATCAAGTTATCGAGCTCCTTCTCAAAAGCAATTAAGCTTTTCTGGTGTTAGTATAAGCAATATATCCAGCTGTCCATATGAATATAGCTCCAGACTGTCCACCTCTCTGGATATAAGAAAATAAATAACTGCACCAGTTTTCATTCCCTGCTAAGCAGAGGGAAGAAGTAGACTGAAAAATAAAGGCGCCTCCATAACATTTTCTGTCTCCTGAGTTATTTATTCTCCTCGTAGCACTTATCTGCCATGTATCCAACGTAACATCTCCCAAAAGGCAGTGTATGTTCATTTTTGTCTGCGTTGATTCTGCAGTGAATTGGGTGTTATTTTTCAGCGCTAGATAAATCAGAATACTAAAGTACGTCAAGGCAAACATTCCTTAAAATAATTAAGATGATGACAAGAAAAGGCAGCTTTATATCCGAACCCATCTCCTATTACAAATGCAATTAAATTCGCTGGTCTCAGCTTATCCTAGTCCTTGTTTATGCACATCCCCCAAAATCATCACCTTATAATTTATGAGTGAGGCTTAAGAAAATAACATGGTGCGTGCCTGGGGTGACTGGGTGAGGAAGAGAAGAGGCAGCAATAAAAAAGTAAATAACTGCTGTGAGAGGCAGCGCTCCCGTGCTTGCTTTCCCTGGGAAGTAGGAGGAATAGCCTGCTTGATTTCAGTGCCATTTTTCCCTAATTACAGCAGTGCGAGGGAGAGCAGAATTCAGCCCGTACGTTGTAGCACTAATAACAGTTCCAAATGTCATCTGTGAGAAAGCTTGCCATTTGCTTTTCTCTGCTGCAAGTGACTGAAGGGCTCCTCATACAATACAGAAATTCTGTCATTCCCTTTATTTTTAGAAGAGCAATTCACAGGCAGAGAGGGGAGGAGGAAGGGTTTTCTGAATGTTTATCGCTTACACATCATACAGGAAGCTGTTCACATTCTTTATTAATTTTCTAACAATATCCAGAGACTTACTCAGTCTGCGATGTAATATGCTAAAATCCTTTCCAATAAAATGTCACCTGAAATAAAAATCAGAGAGGAGTTTTAAAAAATGCCATCACTGTGGAAGATTTTCAGAGTGAGCCAGGCCTACCAGTTCAGCTTCCCCCATGTAAAGTCCAAGGGCTTGTAAAGGTGAAATATAATGTATTAAAACACAGTGATTGATTAATGTGCTGATTCCGGAGGAGAATATAAAGTACAGGTGTCCCTCATGACTGTGAATATCTTGGGAAAAGGAATATTTAAAGCTTCTAACGTGGGGATTCTTTCTATCTAGCGCAAAAGCACCCAGGCGGGGCGGGCTCTGGGTGTGACCTCACTGAATGTGTTTCATAAAGGCAGATCTACAATACAGCGAATATAATGACCTGTTAATTAAGAGTCCCTGTCCTTACCACAACCGATGGTACTAGGCAGCCTGAGAGGATAAAAAATGATCTACAAATGGTTGTGGTACCCCAGCTACTGAACTTTTTAACCAACCTCTTGGCACGCCAGCAAAACACTAAACTAGTTTTATGTATTTTGCTGCAGATCTAGTTGAGTTCTTAGGCTGTTGGACTTTCCTGCACTGAGGTAGTTGGAAACCCGTAATTATTGGGATCTGATCAACAAGATTATTCAGCTGTCCTGGAAAATCTCAGTCGGTTTAGTGTTTGCGTGTCTCAGGTATCATCTCAAGAACATTTATACCTGACAGAGCCAACTCCACCCTGTTTCTTCCTGGTTTGTGATTGAAAAAATTTATGCGTTTTAGTGGGAGAGACCAAGGTAATCTACATGTAGTCTTGGTTAAAAAAAAAAAAAAAAAAAAAAAAAAAAAAAAAAAGGAGGGAAAAAGCAAGTGAGGATAAAGTGTGTCAGTGGGCAGAAGGGTGGGCAGCAAGGAGAAAGAAAGTGCTTATACACAAGAAGACTGATTTAAGTAGGTGATTCGATTAGTGAAAGGACAGTGGGAGTGCTCCGTTAAAAGAGGAGCTGAAATGTGTATGTATCAGTGCAAGTGAAGGAGTTCAAACTGCGGATGCAGGACGTGAAACCAGGTATTAGGATAACGATGATAATAATGAGTTAGAGCTCATGACTAGGCATCAAAGAGTCAGTGCTGCTTGGGGATGATGGAAATAAAT